ACAAAATAAAATACAAAACTAGGCACTTAGTGAAAACCCTACATGATACATTACGGTAAAAAGCATTAAAAACAGCTTGCTATCTACCTTCTTCCATCCCCCAGTGCTGACCATGCTGCCTTGAACAGGATTGTGTCGTTACAGGCTTCAGTGTCATTTGAGGATGTGACTGTGGACTTCAGCAGGGAGGAGTGGCAGCACTTGGATCCTGCCCAGAGACGCCTGTACTGGGATGTGACACTAGAGAACTACAGCCACCTGCTCTCAGTGGGTAAGCACAGCCGCCCTATGCATCTGCTAGTGAGGGTATTTCCATTCTCAGCTGCTGAGTGCTGCCCGACACCTAAACTATGTGATGGTGTCATCCTGGATGTGTCTGGGATTCAGTTCCTTTTCACCTCTGTGATTATTACTCTGTTCCCAGTGAAATGTGTTTATTTTTCTGAAAAGCGAAGGGAAACTGTCAGTGAAAGGCCCCTGAAATCCAGTCAGCTGGACCCAATCATGTATCATGTCCTGTTAACAGGGTACCAAGTTCCCAAGTCAGAGGCCGCCTTCAAGTTGGAGCAAGGAGAGGGGCCATGGACGCTGGCGGGGGAAGCCCCACATCAGAGCTGTTCAGGTGAGTGGGTGTGACCCAGACAGACAGGGACATGGAAGTCAGTCTCACTTTCCCTAGGAAAACCTGATGCCTTTGAAACATTCTGAAGATAACCCATCTTGAAAGTTCTAAACTTTTGGAGTTAATTGGAGATAGTTGACAATAGCCCTCAAATACCTAAATGCCATTTCCATGTATGATCCTTGCCACATTATTGTCTTCTTTGATTGGCCTTTTGGCAAGAGAACTATCTCTAGTCTCTGTACTCTGTACCACATACCACCCTGTCTTATCTAGTACCTTTTTGTTCTTCCTACTCTACCCCTGCCCCCCATCTCAGTCTTTTCTTGTACATCCAAGTGTTTTAAAATTTCTGTTGCCCAGGCTGGAGTGCAGTGACATGATCTCGGCTCAGTGCAACCTCCACCTCCCAGGTTCAAGTGATCCTCCCACCTCAGCCTCCCAAGTAGTGGGGACTACAGGCACACACCACCATGGCCCAGCTAATTTTTGTATTTTTTGTAGAGACGTGATTTCACCAAGTTGGCGAGGCTGGTCTCGAACTCCTGGGCTCAACTGATCTGCCTGACTCGGCCTCCCAGAGTGCTGGGATTATAGGTCTTTGCTGGGATTATAGGTCTTTTAATTTTAATTTTAATTTTTATTTATTTATTTATTTATTTATTTATTTATTTTGAGACGGAGTTTTGCTCTTGTTGCTCAGGCTGGAGTGCAATGGCACAATCTCGTCTCACCGCAACCTCCACCTCCCAGGTTCAAGCGATTCTCCTGCCTCAGCCTCCCTAGTAGCTGGGATTACAGGCCTGTGCCACCACGCCCGGCTAATTTTGTATTTTTAGTAGAGATGGGATTTCTCCATGTTGGTCAGGCTGGTCTCGAACTCCCAACCTCAGGTGATCTGCCCGCCTCGGCCTCCCAAAGTGCTGGGATTACAGGCATGAACCACCGCGCCCAGCCAGGTCTTTTCTTTTATTCCAATTCTCCATATCCATTCTTTATGCCTCCTCCTATGAGCAGCTGGTCTAATGTATTTGAACCTTGAAATTGTGTGATATTCTCTTAAAGCCTGAAGTATTGGTTTATGAGTATGTATTTTTAGTATATATAAAACACATTATACTATGTTTCTCAATTCTGTTCCTTTTTTTTCCCACTCATTCCTATGGTCTCTCCATATTTTAGTGTGTTTGTCTGACTTTATTCTTTAAATTGCTACATAGTATTTCACAATGTCCCCAGCACCACATCATACTTAACCACTCACCTAGTCATGGATGCTGGGCGTTGTGTCCAAGTCCCATCTAATACAAACAATTCTGCAATCAACTTCTACATAAACATTTCCTTACAGGGTGTGAGAATTTCTCAGGGATGTGTAGAGAAGAGAGGATTTGCGCCTAATCATGGAGTATCTCATCCAGAATAGGACTGAGTACCACCATATTATTCTCAGATTAGCTGCACTGTACAAGGGTTCTGGCTTCCTCAGTGTTTCTGCCTGCCTTGGCCTCCCAAAGTGCTGGGATTATAGGTGTGACCCACTGCGCCCAGCCAGCTCCATATTTTCTGCTGCCTGAATTGCAATTATTCTATTCCTGATTTGATTTGCTGATTCCATTGTTTTTACTACTTCATATTGAATGCTAATGACAGATATCTTTACCTAAAACATTCTATTTCTCTTGTCATGAGCATTATGAAACAAACCTACAATTGTTCTCCATTACCTAGTATATAACAATTAAACTCTTCTTTCAAGGAGATAAAAAACATGGCCACATATTTCCAATTCAACTCATATCTGTATATTTTCTGTAACCTCTGCTCAACTCCATTTTTAATATTTGTTAACGTTGACCATATCTGATAGTCCTCCCTGAATCTGACTGTTTATTCTGTGCTCTATTCAGATGAGATATTTTCCACCTTGTGATCAGTTCTCACCTGTCTCACAAAATGGCTCTTAATTATTCCAGCCTATATGGCTCTTTCCTTTTTCTCATCCTCCATCGCACAAGAATTCTGAGAAAATCACAGGATTTTAGCATATAGGGTAACTGAGGCTTTTACCTCTATGTTTTCAGAAAGTCTCTGGAATTAAGAGCCTATTTCAGGCTGAGTGTGGTAGCTCACGTCTGTAAACCCAGAACTTTGGGAGGCTGAGGCAGGAGGATCACTTGAGGCCAGGAGTTCAAGACTAGCCTGGGCAACACAACAAGGTTCCATTTCTATTTCAAAAAAAAATTTTAAGAAAAAAGAGCCTGTTTCTTTTTATAGAAAAATCTATTAATTTGACAAAAAATAATTGTATGTATTTATATAGTGCAACATGATGTTTTGAAATATGCATACATGAAGAGCCTATTTCTTATAGTATAACTCAGGGTCTTACCAAGGGAGAAACCATAGACTAATGGGAACAGAGAGTGGTTAACATAAAGATTCTTTGCAGCCGGGCGTGGTGGCTCACACCTATAATCCCAGCACTTTGGGAGGACAAGGCAGGTGGATCACCTGAGGTCAAGAGTTGAAGACCAGCCTGGCCAACATGGTGAAACCCCATCTCTACTAAAAATACAAAAATTAGCTGGGTGTGGTGGCCCATGCCTGTAATCCCAGTTACTCGGGTGGCTGAAGCAGGAGAATCACTTGAACCCAGGAGGTCGAGGTTGCAGTGAGCCGTGGGACTGGAATAATGAGGGATTTGCTAGCAAAAAAAGAAACTCTGAAGAATAAAGGAATAGCAGATAGAAAGCACAGTAGGTTCTTCTAGGGTTGTGAGCGAGTACCCAAGGAAGAGGCTCCCTACTTCCCAGGGATGAGATTCAGACCTTGTAGGGAGGGCACAACCATGGCTTGAGGCAGGTAGAATACTTGCTATGGTGCTGTCCTGGTGAAACTTGCTGGAAACCTGCCCTCTAGGATTCCCGAGAAAACTGTTGATACAGAGGTGACTCACTGGAGCTATTCCACTACAAATCATCTGAGAGTAAACTAGGGGGTGTTGGGTGCTGCTGACTGTACAGTGCTGCGGGGGCCTGCAGGAACTAGGTGCTTGGGAATCCATATGAGCTGCAGGAGCTGGGGGCTGGAGAAGTCACCCACACTGCAGGAGCCAAGCTCTAGAGAAGACCATGAGCTCTGGGTACTGGGGACACTACATGTGCATCAGGAGCCAAGTGTTGGCAAAGATGCCCACACTACGTGAGCCTGGTGCTGGACAGGCTGCCCCTGCTGGATGAGCCTGTTGAGTGAGCACCTTAGAACCAGGAAGCAAGCCCCACTCCTCCTGCAGTGTCTCTCTAGCATCTTACACTGACAAAGTTTAATATCATGCCAGCTGGCAGAAGAAAAAAATATTTAAAGAGACTGAGATCCACTTTTTAAATTTTTAATTTTTATGGGTACATAGGTATATATATTTATGGGGTACATGGGATATTTGGGGGTTTTGGAGTTTTTTATTTTTGAGAAGTCTCACTCTGTCACCCGGGCTGGAGTGCAGTGGTGCAATCTCAGCTCACTGCAACCTCCACCTCCCAGGTTCAAGCAATTCTCCTGCCTCAGCCTCCTGAGTAGCTGGGATTACAGGTGCATGCCACCATGCCTGGCTAATTTTTCTATTTTCAGTAGAGACGGGGTTTTGCCATGTTGGCCAGGCTGGTCTCAAACTCCTGACCTCAGGTGATCCGCCCACCTCGGCCTCCCAAAGTGCTGGAATTACAGGCATATACCACCATGCCCAGCTAATTTGTGTATCTTTAGTAGAGATCGGGTTTTTCCATGTCTCAAACTCCTGGCCTCAAGTGATCCACCCACCTCGGCCTCCCAAAGTGCTGAGGATTACAGACAAGAGCCACCGCACCCAGCCTGCATGGGATATTTTGATACAGGTATACAATGTGTAATAATCACATCAGGGTAAATGGGGCCAGATCCGTTTTTGTTGAGCAGGCAAGGAAGGGTGAATTTGGAACTGAGAGGCAAAACATTGATAACCAGCACACTTATTCTTCACTTTTCTGAAGTGGAGCATGTAGAAAATATTTAGTAAATGAATTTATTGAATTTGGGGATAGAGGCAGAGGAGGAGATTTTTTCTCTTTCAGATGAAATTTTCAAGTGTCTGCTCAGAGGAATTCAAAGGAACATACATTATATTTGGAAAGGGAAGATGACTGCATGAAATGTTAACACTCTCACCCTTTGTGTATTTGTCCTTTCTGTTATAAAACTGTGCCAAACTGAGTATCAATATGAATGGTACAGTGTCTGCTGTACAAATTCATGCCAAACATAAGCACCCTAGAAGTATACCAAAATTAGAACTAATATTTAGAAAGACAATACGTTTTGGATATGCATGGAGGAACAAAACAAGAGGCTAAATATAGATGTATATCTTCCCCTACATGAAAATTCTGAGGTGAATGGGTCCAGTTCAGTAAGTCAACTCTAATCCTGACGGGTCATTCAGGGACCATGTTCTAAGTCACTCCTGTGGCATCTCCTGGGGCATCGTTGTCACCTACCTGGTTAATGATGGGTCACTGTGGAGTCCAGTGGGAAGAGGGAAGAGGAAATAGAGGAGATTTGCCCACTGTCTTAAGGCTGGCCTGCAAGTAGCATATATCACTTCTGCTCGTATTCTACTGGTGAGAACACAGTGAGGCCAGTGGATGTAAGTCCCAGCCACATTCTATTCCTGTGAAAGATGGGGAGAATAGATCTCAGGGGAGGGCCTGCAGATTCTGCCACAGATAGCTTTTCCTTTCCTCTTTTATACTTCTTGCTATAAGCATGTATTCCTGGAACCAATAGAAACTTGCACCTGGGGCCGGCGCAGTGACTCACGCCTGTAATCCCAGCACTTTGGGAGCCCGAGGTGGGCAGATCACTTGAGGTCAGGAGTTCAAGACCAGCCTGGCCAACATTGTGAAACCCCGTCTCTACTAAAACTACAAAAATTAGCTGGGTGTGGTGGCAGGCGCCTGTAATCCCAGCTACTCGGGAGGCTGAGGCAGGAGAACCGCTTGAACCCGGGAGGCGGAGGTTGCAGTAAGCCAAGATTGCACCACTGCACTCCAGCCTGGGCTGCAGAGCGAGACTCCAGTTCAAAAAACAAAAAAAGAAAAAAAGAAACTTGCAGCTGGTTATAGAGTTGGAGTGCAGATATCTATTTACTGTTTGTCTGTGTCAGGATGGCGTGTTGCAACTGGTTTTCCTATAGATATAAAGAAATTGGTGTTTGAGGCATATAGATTTAATGTTCAAATTCACATTAAATTTGAAGAGCTCCACTCATAATGGTATAGAGGGAAAAGGAAGAAGAAGCAGGGAGTTTAGTAAAGTGGTGAAGCTGATATGTATTAAGAACATACCTTCTGAAATATTTCTTCCATGCCAGGCTTCCCCTTCACAGGCTGCAGTTTCTTCTGGTTACTCTACTCACAATCTAGGCCTCTTACATAGTGGAGCTGGACTC